TTACTTGCAATTCCTTTGAGTTGAGAAGGACAACAGCATGTAGAATTCCTTATCCTTAACTCTCGGTTCATTCTACAGCTTGTTGTATCAAAGATCTCAACAGAATGGAATTGGTTAAGACGTTTGTTTTGCTCAATTTTCCGCCTGTAGAAGAGAAATGCTGCCTGCTGTCATGCACCTAATGTGTTTGACCCCTTCCTCCGTCAAGTGCGCTTTCTTCTCAGATACAACCTTTCACTCCTTTTCCTCCATAAAGTTTCAAGACTTATTTTTCGATCCATGCTGGCCAAGGAAATGTGACCTTTGTCGCGCTGGCATGTGTACTTATCACACACAGTTCGAAGCTCAGCATCACAGCTCACTCTTTGGCATTCGTGGCATTCGAAGTCAGCCTTTTTATGCAGCAGGAAGATGTAAACTTTAAACATTCTATATAATAGGTAGGTTTGTCTCAAAACAACTCAACTGTAATTGGTATTCAAATGTCTTGAACACAGAAGTACGTTTGATGGTGGCTCATGTGGGCGCTGATGCTGTGATTCGCTGTCGTTGTCCCTGAGGCACTCGCGACCATCAAAAGGCAGTGCAAAACTACACTGTACACCCAAGATTGGTTTGGAACGACATGTGAGCAAAGTGCAAGCGGTCAAGGCTCACATTTTGAGACCACATGGAAGTGTAATTTTCGACTAAACGTTATCAATCCCAAACCAACTTGCGAACGGTCCGACGGTTCGCCTCTCTAAGCCCTTCCGCATAGGTGGGGTGTTAGAAGGTAAACAAGTCCAAGTATCCACAAAGCGAAAATAGGGTAGCGAATCAATGCGAATTTGGTACAAGCTAACTGACAAGATGCAATACAAACGACGCAGGATGAATTATGAATTTCTAGAAGCCCCCTCAGTCCAAACGAAGTCTTCAGACGAAGTCTTTAGACGTAGGCATTTTTTGATATGCTGGTAAAGCCCGCTTCTTTTTCTTGAAAGGAATTTCTGATAATTTACGAAAGCCTAAGCGAATGAACGACGAAGCACCAGTTTTCTTATATTTAGGAAATAGTGGTTGCTGCAAGGTATTATCTAAATACCGGACGACTGCACGTAGTGTGTTAGCCTGATGCACGATATCAATCCCAAAAACGTACCTAGCCTTGTGACTGTAGCCATGTTGGTGTCGTGTCGATTATCTATATACTTGCAGCCTCTTTCCATGGGCCGTCCATTACATATAAATATATATATAATATATATTCTTGTCGGTGGGGTCACATTTGTTGGAATAAGTTTAACTGGAATTTTTGGAGAGGGGGTCAAGAAAACTATGTAATGGGGGGAGGTAGAATAATAAATACCTTGATGCCAACCACCCAGAGAATAAGTTCGCTATATATATTTATATAGACATAAGCTTGAACTCAACAACCCATTGGAATAGTAAGCATGTTGATGTCAAACCTTCTTTCAAAATAACTTGTTTGCCGGATTTCAATTATGAGAAGGTTGAAAATTGCATGTCGTTGTTGTTTGGGTGTTCAAGCCCATTGGGTTCTTTTCTTTCTGGTTTACTCTTTTTCATTCCTCTCATCCTGGCCCCAGCCTGGGGTCTTCTGCAAATCTTCCGGGGGATGGTGTTTCAGTAGAATGATTCCAGGGGTGGGTAAGATGTCAACAGCCCCTGGAATAATCCGTTGCTATGCTGGCCCGAGAAATGCAGCAAGCCTTGGGTCTTCTGCAGGTCAAATGTGGTGGGAAATCTTTCGTTTGGTATTTGAGAGGTCGCTAGCCCTTGGAATCCTTTCTGGCCTTGCTGCGCTGGCCTTTGAAAGGTCAAATCTCTTGGGTCTCCTGGAGTGCCCTACAAACCAAACCAACGATGATCGTCCTTTTTTAGTGCATCAAAGGAACAATGGTTCCAATAACTGAGCCACGTCAGGAGTATAGGCACGTGATCCCCTAGCTCAGGCATAGGCAAAGGCACAGGCCATCTTAAAACATTTTGTTCACCGGATTGTGGACTATGTTTTGGCTTAAGTTATTCCGGTACGTGTAGGCGTGTCAGATACATTTTATGTCTAACCCACCCAGAATAAGTTAAAATTATTCCGGCGGGGCGGGTACCTAAAATCCATTAAGGCACGGCCATCTCTTTCCCGTACGTAGAAGTTAGATAGATTATGATACCTGTGGCCGCTGGTCTTTCCTGTTTGCGTATATTGGTTTGCCTTTTTGCAAGGCATGGCACAGTAGTGAAAGCAATATCGAAAACGACACCAAACGATACCCGCATTGTATGTTTGGATGCCTCGGGAAGCCGGTTGCCCACTTGCATGGCTAGGACTTCTAATTGTGGGAACTTGCAATCAATGATAGTGTGTCTTTCCCGCCTCACTCTCCGAACCCTTCTTGGCCTTACTAAGTAATTAGCAGTTCTGAATGCTTGCTTGAGATCTTGCATTCTCTCTCACCAAGCCCACTGCAAATCTTAACACTCACGAAGTGGACAGGTTGTTTACTCTACATGTAGACGATACTTCCCAAATAAAAATATGATAAACATATGTAACCGATTGAAAAACGATAACAATCCCAAGAACGATACCTACGTTAAAGCTTCCACCCAGGAGCCCCCTAGTTTTGCCGGTCGCTCTCATGTTGGGGAGCTGCCTTTGAGAGGCCAGAGTGCTGGCCGAATGCCGAAAGTCCAGATTCCCAGCACCAAGGTTGAGGCAATGGATACCTGGGACATCACATTGGCATAGTTATAACTATGAACTTGTGGATTTTTGCACATTGAATACCTATGCGTGCATTTGCAGAACTGACCTCAATGTTCCGTGGCTAGTTTTGCGAGACAAATTCTGGCATCCATTCAAAACGAAGGCGCGGCAGCAGCTGGACGCCGCAATGACAAGCCTGTCGCAGTTGACAATACAATTGGAGGCCTCGGGATCCTTATGTGCTTGACAGGCTCTTGAAGCTGAAGCCAAGGGTCCATACATGGATGTGTATCATGTACATGTATCTGTGTATATATATATAATATACCATGTGTTCATGGCGCTCTATGTTGAGTTATCATGAGCTTTGATTATTTGCCGTCAGACGCTACTTTCTTCTTGGCATGTGAACCATGCTAACAACGAGCATGGCGGCGCAGAACTAGCAAATCACTGACTTAAGATGGACTCGGACATGCTGTTGAAGGAATTCCAATTTGAATACGTTCTCGCTCGCCAAGCACTGTTTGGTCGCATATATAGATTTTCCCAAAGGACCTTGCAAGCCAGTCTTTCTGAAAAAAGTCCGCTTCTAGGGAGGAAGAATGATCACTCCAATTGAATGACTTGGTTAACATTGTTTCGTTTGCAGGATGCTATCCTTGCCGCCTTTGATGCTGGGGTGGAAGAAGATGATCTTCTACCAGCATTTAGCCGTATGGAGGCCACTTTCACACCAAGAAAGCCCATTCTTCCACATGCACATTCGCTCCTAGATGTTTAACAGGTTTTCTTCGCACGTATTTGCCCACTAGGTAGGTGATTCTGTCACCATGAATGATGGTGTTTGCACATATTTAAGTCAGACTTTGTGGTGTTGCTTGCCTGAGAAAGGAGTTGCGCGGCATCACTTGGAGCAGCCACGTGAGCGTGACGTAAAAAATCAGCTTACGCAGATACATTCTCCTTATTGTATCCGCCTTTATGTGACTGAAGCAGTGACGCAGCTCCCAGACCAATAAACAGCTGAACCATGGATCATGGAACTGCAAAGTGGTATGCATTTTCCGTGACGTCTGGTTGAGACTTGTGTAGTTGCATGTGAGCCACTGGTCACATTGTGCATCTTCTGCTCTCTCTTTGTCTCAAAGGGCTTGATGTAGATGTGCTTAATGTCTCCAGACCCACCATTGTTACTAGCAGCTTCTTGTTCCTAGTAGAGATTGCCTCCAACTAACTTGCGATGGCCTCCACCTAATAGCGTCCTTGTTACTAGTAGCTTCTTGATGTCTCCAGCTCGGCTCTTTGGCCGAATCGGAATCCGAGATTGATCACTGAAAGCATGCCATGAGCCCTTCACAGGTAGACAAATCCCCGCAAGCACACAGATAGAGTTGGCTTTTGTGTTTTTTGTTGCGTGTTAACTTGTGAACCATATGGAAAACATGAGGAAGCATAGCAATGTGTTCAAAGAGGCTTTGGCCTTGAGCAGTGGTCAATCTCCTGACCGACCCAGAATGTCCCAACCAGTCAGCGCAGCTAGGTGGTCCAGAGCAGGGCTATTTAGCTTACTCACACGTTCTTCTCAACAAAGCCTCAGCGTCACCTGCTTGCTCTGATGGCGGGCATCTCTGTGGCGAAGAAAGTGAGGCTTCATGCACCCAAGCAAGGGAGCTGTTTTGGAGACTCAGCGTTCTTGTTGGTAGAGGCTAGTATAGTAGCCAGCGGATAGCCCAGTGGCTACATGCTTTAGTTTACATTAATTTTTGACACAGAGGACCTACGGTTGGATTGTGTCCCAGATCATCAGTTGTTTATACAACTTCCTGCAAATCACAGAAACATCAACATACTACTCACAGAAACTACTCACAGAATATGCAGCAAAGTTCCGTGGGTTTGTGATGCAGGATGTTCGGAGCCGGAATTAAATCGATGTTGGACATATTTGGAACCCATCTCGCATCAGATAGCACAAGGTCGCACAGCATGACACTCAGCTTCTGTTCATCGCTTCACATAGTGTTTCACCACACAGGGATGCTCGAGATCGCCACAAAGAGGAAGAAAGATGCTCGGAGGCAAATTGCGAAATATCTTCAAAGAGCGCGGTACCAGATACAAGAGTGGTACCGTTGCAGGGACTCAAGAGTCACCTCATGTGGTTCAACGCTGAGGAGCTCAGCGTGAGAAACGCCTGGACGAGCTTTTCACAGAGCCCCTTTAGCTGCAGAAGAGTGAGAGGAGAAGGAGTTCGAGACAAAGCTTTAGAGTCAGTAGAGCCATGTCGAAACAAACGTATCCAGACAAACCTGAGCTCACGAAAGGTTTTGGCAAGTGTGTTCTTTCAAGATGCTATCGGCTCAGGTTGGACAGTAGTGGTGACGGTGTGTTGGAGGCCGCAGAGGTCGGGGCTTTCGCTTGTAGCTTATTTATGGCTGCTTTCAATGCAAAAAAAGAGGAGCGAATGCCAAGGCAATTAAATAGTTGCAGATGCCGCAGGTGAAAATCCTCCTTCAGGGACTAGCCGATGGGAAAGAGCCAGCAGAAGCGACTTGAGCATACTTAAGACTTACTGTAAGTCAAAGAGAACTCATTAGGAATCAAATAAGGGCAGTGATTTGAATAAGTGTGTGTCACGTTTAAGCCTCTATGTCTTGGGCAAGCCTGGCAGTCGGGGTTTGAAAACGATGTGGTGAACTTTCAAGTGTTCTGCCAGTTTCTGCGAATAAGCTTTTCAGCTAAGGAAGAGCTGACCTTTATTATGCGCACGATTGGCCACAAGAACAAAGAGAAAATTACCCGTGCTCAATTGACGCAGGCGATCGAAAGCACCCTGCCAAGACATAGTGTGATGAGGCCCCTCCAAGCCTGGCTGAAAGAGTTCATTTGTTTTTGCATACAAATCCAAAACCCATCCTCCAAATGCAGGTGTCAGTGTTGTTATCCTTGAATGCTAGTTATGGTTGGTGCAAGATTGATTTTGTTTATGTGTTCGTTAGTATTTGAACACGTGGCATTATGCCCCTTCACCTTTACTTCCCTCGTACTTCCAGAGGAAGGGAAAAGAGGATAACGAGGAAGAAGGGAAGAGAGATGTTTGCAGAGAAGTGAAGAACAGAGACAAAGAGATGATGAGGGAAGGGGCGTGTTTTGCTGATTGTGGACTTTGACTTTGAGCTTCATAAGGACTTTTTGGGTAGCCAGGTTACCAGCCGAGGAGATCAGTCTTTCACAAGAGGAAAGAGCTGTTTTGCTAGGCCAGTCCCGAGGAACCGGGAGATTAGGATGGTTCTGGAAGATGTGTCTCTTAACGTCTCTTAAGCCTTATACCTGTCATTTCTCTTTTTCTTGTGATGTATGATGTTTGGTTTCTCTTTTTTCTGCGAGGGAGATTTAGAGGAGGAAGGAGCCATTCCAGCATAGCATACCTTTTGTGACCCCCCGGCGGGTGTAGAATTTTGTGAGGCGGTGCGTTCGTTTTTTTGTGAAGGGATGTATTCCAATGTAGCACACCTCTTGAAGAAAGGATTTTTTTTCTTTTCGCGGTTTGTGTGCTCTTTGCGGGGAGTCGCCGCGCTCTCACCCCCAACCCCTCTCCCGCACCACGAAATCTGCAACACGTCCGATTTCCTGCTTACCAATAAATCTGACTTTTAAGCGTGACACCTGTCCCAGCTTCTCTAGCGTGGCTGTGGACGTTTTTCATGTCCAAAAAGGGACAGGCCTTGGATGCGTGTTTGTGTTCCAAGATGATCCTATCATGTGGTCCAAACTGATCCTAGACGGACTGAACTTGATGACATCAAATGTGTTCCAATGCTGAAGACTAGAACGTGTATTTTCTGCGGAAAAAAAACACTGATTTCTTTCATTTGGCCTTTAAATGTGTTTCATTTACAGGAGAACAAATTATTTTTGTTGTACGAACATCAGTCATACTGGACCAATTCTTGGCTAACTCAGGCTGGACGTTGTACCTCCAAGAGTTCGGGTCGGATGACAGCGCTGGGAAAGCGCCTTGTCCCCAACAGCTGAAAGGCAATTGAAAAGAGTGAAATTGGCTCCTCAGTCGCACACCACGCTCGCCTCATGGTCTTGATCTTGCACAACGCTCTGCATCCCACACATCCGTTCGTTGCCCTATAAGGGTGGAGAGGGTAGGGGTTGTATGTAGGACAACCAATCAATGATTTTAATCACTGATCGTCACTGATCGTTCTTCACGTTGGATGTAACCCCTGTGCGTTTGCCAGTTCCTTCACTTTCAAACGATTTCTTTGTGTGTGTGAAAACTGCGCACAACTGCATGTTTTGGGTCTGACTGGCAAGCGAAAAGATATGAGCAACTAAACAGCGACACCATCCTCTCTGCTGTGGGAGGCTTAGAGGAGACTGTCTCTAGACCCTGCGTGCACAGTAGGTCAGCTCGTACGCGACACTGTCAACTCCCAACAAGGCTACATATGCAACCGTTGCCGGTGACATCTCTACAAATACGTTAACACTGGTTTGTAACAAATACGTTAACACTGGTTTGTATATCCATTGGCTCAAGAACGTTCTGCTCCCCGTCTCCAAAACAATGAGGAACGCTGGTTGATTCCAAACGGGTGGAGAGATGTAGCAGCGGGTAGATTGTGCGCCGTTAGGCCCCGCATGGCTCATATGAGCACCATTAAGTGGCAACGGGCCTGAAAGGATGTAGGTTTGAGCAAAGTGCCTACTCGCCTCACAGTGATTGAAAGAATCACCCCACATAAAATGAAGGACTGGCCGCGCGGCCGCACTGCCCTTCAAATATACTGTGCAACTTGTGGTGCCAAGATGCACCAATGCCATAGCCTATTTGATCCTTTGTAAATGCTCACGACAATCAACACTTTGCTGAATGCATTCGACTGTTTGTCCACTCCTTCGCTCTTACCCCTTTGTCCCGCCTTTGTGCTCCTAAGTCCAAAAAAATACAAGTGTCAAGGTACTTTTTGAAAAGTACGACAAGTCCAAGACGGGGAAGCTTGACCATGAGGAGTTGAAGTCCTTGCTGATAGATCTCGCAGGTCGCACAGGGGGACATTGGACTGACAAGAATTCGCAGGAGCTTGTTTTCCAGGTGTACAGCGAGTATGGTGGTTCTCCGGGTCTACAGCGAGTATGGTGTTAATGGAATTGTCCAAACTACAGAGAATTTGTGGACATGTTGATCGTGTGTGATCATGTGCGCAAATGGTTGTTCTTGCCTTTGCTGCCGGTGAACGACCGGAGCATTGCAAGCTAAAGAGATGTGGTCTTGAGTTGTCCATGTTCCAGGCAGAGATGTATCGCAAGAGGATGTGGACTGGATCATGGCGAAGGCTGGCCGCCAAAAAGGTGCTGCTGTTTGCTCTGAAAGGACAGGACAGGATCACTCGCTCAATCGCAGATTTGGATGTGTGTTGCACTTTATGTCCCAAGATGATGGCTGCGACGCTTGACAGCAGCGTTGCCCATGTAAGTCATGTAAGCGTCAAATGGCCCGCCTACAGCTTCTCCTGCATCATTTTCCATTTCCTGTGCAGGATGTAACAGCAAACCAACCAATTCATTAATTTGTGCCTACTTTGTTCCCTATAAAGAGTGTGCCCTGCTAGCTGCTAGTTGGCTCCCACACTTTCGTGAGAGGAAATGACAAAAGCCCTTCGAGGCTCAAAGGACCTTAGCAAGACCTTAAGACAGAACATAGTGGCTTCAATGCGCGAAGCACCATAAGCGAAATTAAAATTAGGGAAATTCAGAGCGGCGCAAATCAGCTGCTACAGTATCAATTGTGGGAAGGCGGACGTCCTTGGTGACGGCATGATCGCCAAGATTGAACTCAGTCAAGCTGATGCCTTACTTCTACTTCTTGTGAGTTGTCTTATCGTGTTCCGACTCATTGCCGCCTTTTTTGCTGTTCAGCGGCTTAGGCCATAGCACTTTGGCCACATTCTTAGTTTGCTTTCAAGGCTGATACGGCGTGATGCATTGCCAATAGGAAGCACGATGTCGACAGAGCAGAACGATCAAACAAAACAGATGTGAGTGGAGTTTGAGTTGCAAACAGCAAACCTAAACCAACATGTCGAGACAATGGCAGATGGTGGCTTACATGCCTGCAGAACTCCACTTCAATGGCCTTGCCATTGAACAGCGCTTGAATGAAATCATGCTCCATGTGAGTTGTTGAGTTGGAGTGTCAGGACATTGCCCTAAGCATCCTATAAAGTTAGATAATGGGATCTATTGAATACATGAGAGCTTGCACGGCAATGCATCGCATAGCATGGCAGTGCCTTTTGCCTAGCCACGTGACGTCATGAGTCACTGAAGGCTTCAACGTTTGGCTTCAGATGCTGAAGCACAGGCTTCGAGGACAACAACCAGTTCCAGCTCGCGAGCGCCCGGAACCAAAGCGCTGCAGGAAGTAACATCGCATGAAGAGATGATTTTGACGGATGGTTCTTCCCAGGGAGAAAGCGGAGGGACAGAGGTTTACTTGCGCAAGTCAACTCAGATCAACTGGCCTAGGCTCATGTCTTAAGATTGCTTGAGCTGCTGCTTCGATCCTTTGTCTCTTTGGGTCTGTCTCTTTGGCCTTGACAACGTGCCATTTGTGGAGGAGCAGGGGCACACTGGTGGTGTCCTTTCCTCTCCACCAGAAAGATCCAGCAAGTTCCAAGTTCCGCACAGATGGATCAGATGGTATGCCATGCGCAGTACACATAACCCATGCTCACACGTAACAGACATAACACTTTGCGGCCCCATCCCTGCCTTTTAGCCTCCTTTACTACTAGCTTCTTGTTTCTACTAGTAAGGCACTTGTTACTAGAAGCGATGCACGGGCCTATGAGACTACTAGTACTAGTAGCTTTCTGTTACTACTAGTAAGGCACCTGTTACTACTAGTAAGGCACCTGTTACTACTAGTAAGGCACTTGTTACTACAAGAAGGGGCAAACATTGAAAGAGTCCACAGTAGACCCGGATCTGAGGTGTGCGATCCTGTGAGCATCAGACGATTTTTAATCGATTTTCAAGCTGCGCTGGCCAAAGTGGACGTTGCCTTTTTTAAGGGTTCAACCGTTCAATGCTGAATTCTTGGCCCAAAAATCGTGCATAGTGAGTTGACAAGCTTTCATAATGTATAGTCGAATAGCTCCTTATCAGACTTGCTTTGATCTAATTATGAGCCTGGGCGTTTCGTCGCCAGCGCTTGTGAAAGCTCATGTGTCTCACAGGTCTAATGCTGAAAATGGTCTCAGCTGTGAAGACAGGGCCCACGCCACATGGCAACAGTCGAGCAGATTCGAGCAGGAACGATTTATCAACCTGAACTGAGAAGCTTGCATGAACTGAACATTGTACAAACTACCAAAGCCATGAAGCGAGACCAGAAAGGACTTCCAGTATGCAGGGCAAAGCCCTTTGTACAATGAAATCGCGAAAAGTGAGATGCAGCTCATGATTGTATTTTAGCTGGCTACGAGCCCTTTGATGAATGTGCCAGCAAGCCGAGGCTAAATAAGGCAAAGAAATCAGCTAGAACCCAATTGCATCCATGTTTGTCGGGACAGAGGTGAATCCCATTTAGACTGATTGCCACCATAGATGGCCTTTGCTATTGGTCCATGTTTGTTTGCTCGAGTTCCAACATTTCGACAGCTTTCCCAAGTTGGCATTGCCAAGTTGGCTGGCCTCGCAGGTGAGGCCACCCATTACCATGAACTTTGAGGTGCCTCAATTCACCGCGAGTGGGCCCTTCAGCTGCAACCCAGCGGGTGGTAAGCAAGATGAACAAGCTTGTCGGCTTCAGCCAACGTTGCGCCTTGCTACGCCTTGCTTATTCATTTTCCAGACCAAGTGATAAGAGATAGGATCCTTGCTCGATTGACCTCCAAGAGATCTATAATATGTGATTGTGTGCCTGTGGCCCGTCGTGGGGCTCAGTCAACAATCCACCCAGGCTACGAGTACGGTTTCTCAAGGTGCAGGAGAAAAGCCTGAGCCCTTTTATTCTGAGCCTTCCTGTCAGATACTGGTGCCTTTGTAGATTGCAGTGTTTTTCACTGAGATGATAAATTGATGGACTATGTCCAGAAACAGCATTTAAATTCCGTTCCCATCTTCCTTGAGGGTCAGTCTTTTGTTTGGCATGTGGCCAATCCACAGAAGTTGAGAAGAGGCATTGCAATGTTGACGAGATTCCGTGGAGCACGCCTCCTGAGGCCAGTACAAGCCAGTCAAGTGGATTCGGTACCTCACCAAGGCAGGTCATACGCAAAAAAAAACAATACATCGAAGCACGTAACAGCGGCACATTACAATGTTGTGCTAAAGGCCGGGACCTATGAGCATCGCATATGAGCGAGGCCAAGGACTTTGGTGCAAAATTTGTGGACGTGCTGGCGATTTCACTTGTCAAACCTGTCAATGCAACTTATAGAGCCAGAGAGTAAGGTAGCATCAAGGAGTAAGTCGAACCAGAAGCTGGTAGTTTTGCAGTCTCAAAGTCTCGTGCCCGCATGTTGTCAAGCCTCCGGAAGAAGCTTTGGTCACTTGGCTCAAAGCCATTTCATGTTGCCGGAATCACAAAGCTCAGCCACATCTCTCATCACACCCTGCCAAAGACGCACGGTTTGACCTTGTGGTCCTACCTTTGTCTATCCTTGTCAGCACCTGAATAGGAACTTCTGTTGAACCCACGCAAGTCTTGTGCTGATGTGGAAATGCCAAGTCCATAGCTTTTCCTTCCAAGATCAAAAAAACCGAAGCAACAGGTCACAGAAACAAAAAAGGGAAAATAGCTGAAACCGGCACTTTCCCATCATGGCCGCTATGGAGGTGGGGCCCGGTGGGGGTCGGATGAGAATGGCTAGAAGTGGATCCTTCAAAAGACCGGACGAACAGAAACAATGTGACAGGCCGCCGTGGAGGAGCTGAAGAACAACATCCGAGAGCCTGAAACTGCAGAGGTTTCACATGGTTTCACATGGTTTCATAGCAAACAAAGGAGAATCATCAATTCCTGGTGCTAGAAGTCTTCAGTCATTGACTCCCGTCAATTCTTACCAGTTGCAGATAGCTGGAACGAGCCAACCTCATTGCATTTTTGGGACTTATCCTGGAGCCTGTTCTGTTACGTGCCCAAGGTCTGCCAGACGCGCAGAAAAGCAAATTGATGCGCGCGCTGCAGAAGTTTCGCAGAGTTTACAACAACTTGAGGCCTGTGGACCCCGTCTCTCGTTGTCACAATGTCCATTCGGTGAAGCTGTTTTATTTAAGCTGCTATTTTCGTGTGTTCATGTTAATTTAGAAACATATCTACTCGTATCAGGTGATGCATGGAGTTGTTGACGTATTTGAGATTTTGCCTGCAGGAGCTACGCTTGTTTAAACTGTGGAGCGGGATCAAATCCGCACCTGCACACGGGCAATTCTCATACAAGGGCCTTTGCAACAAACTGCCTTGTTCCTGGCACGGTGCCAAAGCTCATTTGCTGATGCAAAATTAACGGTGACATGTACCTTTCTGTGTTGGAAGCGAGATGAGGAGCATTGAAGTGCAGATACTGCGAAGTTGTTGGAATGAACCGCGTAGTATCGACAAGCGTTCTGGAAAACGCGTGTGACCACATGAGTAAGAAATTGGCAGGCAGCGAAAAGAGACTTGGAGATGGAGAAACGGAAGCTAGAGGTGCCTGCATGTTTGCAACTTCCATCCACTTTCTCTAGAATTCTGAAGTCCCGCCAAGAATGAATGACTGCAGTGCACTCTTTGGACCCACTGGCCCATGGAGTTGCATAGTGAACTTATGTGTTTCTTAAAGCCTGCCCTTTATGATCAAGTAGGCGCCTACTTAATTAAGGTGGTAAGCTCCTAGGCAGGAGTCAGGATAGCTCACACTTCCTTGAAGAAGCGCTCGTACTATTTCTTTGGTGCCTAGATTATTTGTTGAAAAAACAGTCTCGAGTCTCAAGACATCAAAGGGGAACAAACTACGCAGTACATATGTGTTGTCTCGGCTCCTCCCCTGTCCAGGAAGAGCGAGCGTCATGAGCTCAGAGCGTGCGCTGCTTCCCGGAGTGCAGTAATCATGTACAGTATATAATCCGGACGACAGCATTCTCAAGGGTAGGCCACAGATTCACTTGCATCAATCTATCAGCTGTGCTTTCTTCAGAGTAGCTTGAAAGCAAGGGTCTAAGAGGCTTTTGACTGCACAGTCAAAACTTAATAGATTGGCGCAAGCCTTAAACATGCACCTTCAATATGGTCACAAGCATTCCAATGGGTTCGGGTTTGGCTCAGGACCTTAGTCAGCATGGAAGAATACTTCCAACAGCAGCAAGAGGAAGCTTTCTGGCAGAATTTAGCAGGAAGATGCACCTGAGTGAGGCACAGTCATGCAGACAAGGAATGTAACTTGAAGCTGGTACTTATCGCATGGTGCTTTTGGCAACTGATGTGAGGACACGATTTACAGAAGGAAACTCTTTGACAAGGTGAACAAATGTGGGTTCCCATTGTTTCGCAATCATTCATCAGGTAGTGTCGAAAAGATCGGTTTTCCAGGGGAACTAGACGCCTGGCGTCGATGTTGGTTTCAGAACTTTGCAGCTATGCTTGATCTCAGCTGCTCCTTCTGTTTCTCTCAGACTTTCCAGCTTGGATAAGTAGCGAATTAGCCCTCTAGAGAGCAGCAAAAATGTATGCCAGAGATGGCAGAACAACTCAACTGTGACAGGACAACAAAGTAACAAACTTGAGAGGGACCGGACATATTTGATGACAACCTTGAGGTAGACTTCTTGTAGCGTCCTCCAATGTGGACAAACAAAGCATTGTGCTGCAAGGCATCCGTGTTGAATCTCCGCAAGAGACAGTAGCAGCTGCACCAGTTGCGCAAACAGGAATCGGGAAAAAAAAACATGTATATTCCTGTGTTTCATCCGGCTTCGGCTAAGATGGAAGCACTCCGCGACGAGGTGACCAAATTGAGGCAAGCAGAGACAGGTTATTCGAGCTTTTGGGCTGTGTAACATGTTCCTTTGGCTACGGGTCGTGTCATTCATGCCTTGGCTTGAGAGATTGAGTGAAGCTCGTTCACGATCCCTTAAAGGATGGCACCCATGGCGTGACAATTGAAATCGATGTACATGGACCCACGCCGCTTGCAGGCTCCATTGTGTAGCCTATAATGAATCAGGTGAACTCAAAATAATGTCGTATAATATAGGACCAGATGACCCCATATGTTAACAACTTCGCGCAGGAGAAGCGGTCGGGAGGAGGGAGAGGAAGGGAGTGGTGGTTGGTTGGTGGTTGTCGTTTGGAAGTGGATGGGGATGGGATTGTCGTTTGGGTTGTCGCGTGTCCGCGTGCGTATGTAAATAGGTGGATCCAGTCTTGATGAGCGCGTGCTTCTATTCGGGAGAACTCCATCCCAGCGCGCGCCCGAATTTTGTATGGAACCCCGTGCAGATCAGCCGCAGCACGCAAATCACAGCGGCACAGCGGCGGAGACCCACCAGCACCGTCCAGCACTACCCAGCACCGGGGCGTACATCCCACCCCCTCGAGAAGACAATGAGCTGGAAGACAAGTTGCACGCAAATCACAGCGGCACAGCGGCGGAGACCCACCAGCACCGGCCAGCACCACCCAGCACCAGGGCGTACATCCCACCCCCTGGAGAAGACAATGAGCTGGAAGACAAGTTGCACGCAAATCACAGCGGCACAGAACCAGCCAGTACCAAGGCGTACATCCAACCCCCTGGAGAAGATAATTCGCTGGTGGACAACTGGTTGGTGACAATTGAGTGACAATTGGTTGGTGACAATTAGTTGGTGACAATTGGTGGATGACAATCGATAGGTGACAATTGGTTGGCAGCAATTGGTTGGTGACAATTCGTGGATGACAATCGGTAGGCTAGGTGACAATTGGTTGGTTGACAATTGGTTGTTGACAATTGGTTGGTGACAATTGGTTGATGACAATCGGTTGATGACAATTGGTTGTTGACAACTGGTTGTTGACAATTGGTTGTTGAAAATTGGTTCATGATTCATGACAATTGTCGGTGGCAGTTGTTGGTGGCAATTGCTTGGTGGCAAGCGGAGGGCGGGAGGAGGAGGAGGAGGAGGAGGGCGGGATACAACACTGAAAACAAAAAACCACCTGTCAATGCGGGGAAAAATCACGTTGAGTGCTGCGGAGACATACTCACACTATCTCACGCTCATACCCGTCATACCCCTATTGGACAATTGTTCAGGTGCTTTGCACACAACGGGCCAGGTTTCTTCTAGTTTGGAGATGCATTCTCAGACCACCGTTGTTCATGCACCGACCAAAATTGCCAGAATGGTACATGGGCAACACCAAACTGTTGTTCACACGACCGGAATGCACCAAGACGGAACACGTAGGTACAGGTGAACAGGGAAAGGAGGAAGGGAAGGAAGGAAAGGAGATCAAAGTTTTGCATGTTCACACGGTTGGAGCACACTGAAGGTACAGAGGGGAAGGGACGGCAAGGGGACTGCACCAGTGTGGCCCACACGGGCAGCACCAAACCTTTGCACGTATGTTCGCACGATTGGAGCACACCAAGATGGCGTACAGACAGAGGCCAGCAGCCACACAGATTCTGTTTAAAACGATGGGAAAATGGGAGCGCACACTAAGATTGCGTGAGGGATTCCCAGCAAGAATGTGACCAGTTCACACAAAGATTGAATTTATTGCTTGGAGCCTGGAACTGTTTTTGGCGTGATTTTGTAGCTTCTGTGAGAAACTTGAAAAACGCGGGGTGATGAACATGTTATCGCCGGGGAAAGTCGTGAGAGCAACCACATGGGGACTTCTGTGCCATCTATATATAAAGAGTTCCCAACAGCCAACAACCAAGTTTTATTGGCTTGTCACTTGCCAACAAATTCACTGCTTCTCACTTTTGCTGCAATATGGCTTTGCGTGAGGCGGGCAGGCGGCCTATTCGGCTGCTGTATGGCTCCGAGCATCCAAGATCGTCCTGAGGATTTGAAAACACACAGAGAAAAGGCGTACATAAAACCTGTCTTTCAAGAAATACTGGACTTGTTTGGTCTTGCTTCCGTCAGGAGCCTTCTGGATCATGAGGCTTCTCCGGGCCACGTTGGCTGCACATTATAGGCAATTAACTTGTCTTGCAGTGTGTGTGTGTGTTTTTCTGGTAGCACAAGAATCAAGAATCAGTTGCTTGAACTGAATGCATTCTCCGCATACTTTTTGCAACCAACTTACCTTCGCCTTGAGGCCGGGTCATCCGACTTCTGTTCCCTGTCATTTTCCTGAACCGGTCCCCAAATAACCTCGTAAAATGCTACAAGCAGAAGGGAAGGCCGCACCACGAACCGTTGCAATATTGCCGGCTAGGCCACTCAAGTGTCTCTTCTTTGCCTGAAGGTTGAGGTATTATTTGCAAGTTAGCTCTGCAGGTTTGGATGATATTGATTTATTCTCTTCTCTACATACAATACGTGTCTCGTTATTCTTGGAAAAACTTTGCTCAGAGTCAATGTCTCAGATCAGCTCAATTGTTGTGATCCCCCTCTGAGCTCTACAAACTCTAGTAACTCTAGTATCTAGAAGTAAGCAACGAATTACCGTAAATGGACGGCTGAGAACTGGAAGGAATGGAGGAGACGGACTCCCATGAAGTATGTGCATTCAGGCGACAAAAACTGGTTGGAAGACACATGCCGTGCAAAACATGTTTTCCTGTTTACGTGTTCAATATCATGTAAGCAATAATATGTAAGCAATGTCCTTGCCGGAGAACTGAGAACTGCTGCGGTCTGAGGTGCCAATTCAATGTATTGGTTCCCCATGTGTGAGGTCACGTGATTTAGTGTGAATTGGAAGATGAAGTTGTCACATCCTCCACTTCTGACTTCAATATTCTCACAATCTCTGGATTGCAAAGCTCAATTCCAGGTTGCCATCCGATGGCACTCCAACTTGTTGTCGCATTGTCCCTGTCAGTTGAAGGTTTGGTCATGCTCGTCACAAATTAGGACCCTTTGTTTTGCATCTTTTTTGGAGGTCAGAATAGATGTTTGGAAGGCGTTTTTTGTGCAGAACCTAAAATTATAATTTTGGGATATTGAATGATATTGATTAAAAAATATTGTCATCGGATTCATTCACCTTGTCATTTGATTACCAATAAACCAATCTCGAAGAAAATTCGAAGAAAATAAAATAAATATAACTATAATATAACTAAATTCATTATTATATAAATTACATATAATATATATATATATTAATCTATTTTATAAATATATATATATGGATTATATTTAAAAAATAAAAAAAAATATATATATTTATTAAATAATATTTAGAAATATTTTATAGATTATTTTAAAGTAGCAATTTTAAATAAATAAATATGTAAGGGTTAGAATAATATTTTAATAGGATAAAAAAAATAAATACAAATTATGTATTTATGTATTTACGATTGACGGAATGAATTCGCTTATTTTGGGCAAGCAATTGATGCGTCGATTGGCTATTTTTATGGCGGCATGGTACGTTAACGATTCGAAAAAAGGGACTTAAATGGATTTAAGCATTCGACAATGGTGCGATATGCGGTTGTTAATTTTGAAGATCGAATTAACTAAATTAGATAGATATTTTGATTTATTTCGGGGAGATGTGGGATAATAATCGGGAATTTATCGTTATTAGTTAAGAATCTTATCTATTTGATGCGAAGAATGGATTGGTAGTGACTATAATGCGGCTTTTGGCCTCGGTGCATTGGAATTGCAATTATTTGATGTTGAATCCAATTTACAGTGCGGCTTGATGCATATATGAAACATGGAAATATGATAGGTTGTCGATTCTAGCTGATTATGGTCTTAGATCGAATGCTAAGCGCTGGAAACCGATTGATTTGCAAATAAATAGGGATGGGGGGTCGCGGAGCCAATAAGTCCAAAATAATATGGAGTTTGGTTGTGCCACATGGGAACAAGATCTTGTATGGCGTTATCAGCGGGCTTTTTATCCTTCATGACGATGGGCGAGCAGGTCATTTCCCTATCCTCAACGGTGGTGTCGAAGCGGATCTCCCATCGAGGAGCCTGCAGAACCTCATCAAAATGAACCCTGTGCAAGGTTAGCCGAAGCCATCCCACAAATTTAGTCGCATCGTGTTGAGTTCCTTTGGCATACGAAGCAAACCATCCATCAAGCAGTGAACTAAGACAGTCTGAATCCGTAAGCCATTGTGCGGTGGTGCCCGTAAGCCATTGTGCGGTGGTATCACGACTCAACAACCATTGGAGTGGTTGTTTCCAATTACCAATTAACCCCCATGGAAAAATTATTGTCCATACAATAGGCCCAAAATTCCGCTATTAAAACCGTATTCATGAAGCAATCGTTGGCGTCATTGCCAAGGCACAACTCGAGGAAAGAGGATCTCATCGTTTGAGGGTCCGGGCCACCGCGATCGAAGGCCTCAGCCGGATTGCAATCAATAGCGTTAGTCCGTTGCCCGTGAGCTTTGTGAGGAGGTCGAATAATTCCTGAGAGGCCGAGCTGCGAAGGGAAATGTCGAGGCGCCAAGGGATCACAACATTGGAATTCGGATTTAGTTGATCGGATGGCATCGGTTTGAGTGCCGTGAATCTGTGGATCAGTTCCGATTGGTTGGCAATCTGATGGATGCATGCGATTATCTTTGAGGCCTCTGTAGACGAGATCGGGTCCCTGGACGAAGGCTTCAAAATCTTTTCTTGGTGATCCCATTGAAGGTAAATCTAGGCATTCGTTGGGGTCAAGATCTGCTTGGCGCGAAGGGCCAGGATCAGTTCGTGGTCGTTTGACCCAAGGGGAAGCTGGGCTGCCCGGCTCGCAAGCTCTTCGAAAACCGACTGAAACATCAGCTGGCGAAGGGGTCGATCGACGGTGCCCTACTCCCACTGGCCATGCCATGTCTTCGATAGCTGTCGCAGTTGCGGGAGGATCGAATTCTTGTCAGCCAAAAATTTTATATAATAGATAATAGATTTTTATATTAATGTTATATTTGAAAGTTAGGTATATTTAATTTAATATCAATATTAAATTTCCAAATATATATATAATTATTTATAATGTTTAAGTCTATTTAAAATACATTTAATATGAATAATAATATTATATGTAATTTTATTTGTAATTTTTTATAAATCTATAATTTATATTATTATTATTTTATTGCGATTTGGATCTCCTCTAAATAATTGGATTATTTTATATATTTCGATTTTTAAATTTAAGAAATAATCTAATTATTTTATATTATGTTTTCGTCTTGGGACATGTACCACTAAGTAATTCCGATGCGGTCGGTCGTGGATTCGAATCTTATATGGTCCACCTTAGTTAGCCTTGGAACATTTCGAAATTGAATATATCTATATTTCTTATTTCGTTTCTACGTATTTATCGAGCATTTCTTAGACGCGTACAGCAGTATTTTCTACTACAACGTTCGGATACGTACGCCAGGGAATAAGGCCTTATTATAATATTCTATTTTTAATGATTATACGCGTGAACGCGTCGTAAATTTAATATTTGTATTTAATGTTTTGACAGAATATATTTATATAATATATCAATGCTTTCCGCTACAACGTTCGAACGCAAATGAAAAAGAATAAAATCTTGCTATAATATCGGCGGATCTCCGGTTCTCCGGCCTCGGCCGCGGACAAGGCCGGAGACCCGTTTTCTCCGGCCTCGGCCGCAGACAAAGACGAAGACCCGTTTTCTCCGGCCTCGCCCGCGAATAGGGCCGAAGACCGGATTTCTAAAGTAAAATGCTTAAAACAATAAGATTATCTATTATATTTTCGCCTTTTCATGTTCAAAATCTTAACTCCCTCATAATTAATTTCCGACTTCCATCGCGGTCCGGACCCCCCCCCAGTAATTAAATTTTTATATATATTATTTCATATATTATATTTTCGTTACCAAACAAATATAAAATCTTTCAAAACATCAAACAAACTAAAATTTTAGCAATATAGTGTTACCATACAAATATATTCTATCAAAACATCAAACATAAATATTAGATCTATAATATGTTCCCGCACTGAACGGAGAATTCAGGCTCGTAAACTCAGTGACGTAGGGTCACAGTCCCAAAGGTTGTAGTTGAAGCTGAGGCACACTTTTAGCTCAATCAAGCGTGAGCTCTGGTAGTGAAATGAACACAAAACTAAACCCAAACGGCTGCAGTGAAACATACATCTATACAAGCTATGTCATGTACATGTAACTGGTGCTACATCTGATCACGCCTCCCGAATTTAACTTCTGGGAGATGTTAAATGAGTCAGGATTAGCACTTAATTAGCTCGTGGCCCTTCAATATATCTTGGTCTTGAAGAAATACCTATTTTAGCTCAAGCCGTTCAAGCTTTCAAAGTCAGTTCATGCTCACCTTCCAGGTAGTGGAAATTCATGCCTTTCATGGCTGTTGTCATTTTCTCCTCGGTGACAGCTTTCGTTAACACATCGGCCAACATTCGGTCGGTGCCTTCTTTCTTGAGACGAAATTCTTTCTTTGTTGTACGCTCTTGTACCCAGTGGTACTGAGTGTCAACATGTTTAGCTCGTCTCAAGCCTCGACGGTTTCCCATGGCGATGCCAGCGGAAGCGCCCATTGTCACCTCTTTGCTGGGAAACAATCCCCAGTCTCTTGCAGTTGATGCGACTCCAAGCATCTGACATGCTCCGGAAACAAGTCCGTAGTATTCGGATTCGCCACTGCTCAGGGAGACAACTCCTTGGCCTTTGCTGTATGTAGTGAGACAGCATTTGTTGGCCATGAGCACGCCTCCTGAGACACTCTTTCGTGTCCTTATGCAACCTGCATGGTCGGCGTCTGACCACATGTTGAAGGGATTGCAAGTGTTTTGGTTTGGAAACAGCTGTGCAACTCTTGGTCGATACCTGATATATCGAGCCAATCGTTTCAGCATATTCCAGTGCCTCGATGTTGGATTCTGTAGACCTTGTGCCAACGAGTGCGTTGCAATTTTCAGATCAGGTCGATCTTGTGCCAAATACGCGGCTCTCATAGCAATAGATCTATACATCGTTGCATCTTCGGCACTCAGCGGAACTTCTTCGTGTTGGAGTTCCTCTTGACTTGGCTTGGCCAAAGATGTCTTGACCTTGCCTGGTTGATCAATGCCTAATCACTTGATGATCAACTCTGCATGTCTTGGATCTGGTTCCCACCAAATGCCTTCATTTGACCAGGTGATGATGCGATTCAACATTCTGATCTGTTGACTTGCTTTTGGTAAACCTGGGGGACCGAAAATGCCTCGTTCCACAATTTGCCATTCTTTGGCTGCTGAAGTAAGAAACCACTGGATGTCATCAAAGCTTCCAACGGTCGTGAAATCGTCTCCATGCATTTCTGTTCGAAGTTCTCTGGATGCATGGTAATAGATGTATGGATTAGATTTGCCTTGTAAAAATCCTAGCTTCTTCATGAACTCTGCAATGGTCAACTCCCAGTTCATGGGTGCGTCTCTGGTGCCGTAAAGGCTTCTGACCAATCTTCCTACCACATCCCCATCTTCTGGCTTCTTGCCTTCTGATGGAATTTCAACATAGAGTTCTCTTGTGGCCTTGGAGTAGAAATGAGCTCTCTTCACATCTAAAAATCCTAGAAATGATTGTTTTGATTTTCTTCTCTCGCCTTTCTCCAATGGAAGGCTGTCGCTGACTGCAATGGTTAGTAGTAGCTTTAAAGCTGCTAGGCTCGGCATGGCTGCGAAAAATTCGTCAAAACCTGAGCCTCTTTTGATTTCTTGTGCCATCAATCGATTTCTATAGAGAGGATTGGTTTCATCTTGCTTGTTCACATCTACCCATCGAATTCCAATGATTTTGGTTCCTTTTGGAATTTTGCTTCTTGGGATCTTCTCCCAGACTCCCATTGATTCGACAATATCGATTTCATCTTTTCTGACTTTCTCTACCTTCTCAGGTAGAAGCTCTTTTCCATTGATGTCATCATAGTACCACCAATCTTTTG